GAAAGTAGTTTGGAAAGAACGAGCCCAAATTCCCAAATATTGTTTATAAATGTTGTTTTCATTTAAATGGACTTGGTTATAAACGGTTAATGAGCACAGCCAATTCTTTTTAAAGGTAAAAAGGGGATTATGGTATAGATATGAATACTTTGTTTTGGAATGGATTTTCATTTATTGATTACTTTGTTTTTGAATGGATTTTCATTTATTGATACAAATTTAAAGTCAATTTGATGATATGTATATTTCTCCTCTTGTTTAGGTATTGTGTTTATTGAGCTCAGTTAGAAATGTAATGTATAATGTAGTACAGATTATAGTTACCTATGATAGTCAGAACTTATAGTTAAGTTAGTTAGGATTTCTAGATATACAGAGATGTATTTGAGATGGATAGGCATTCTTCAAACCTTTCAAAGACCTACAGAATATGGCATTTAAAATGGCTTAGGGTGAGACATAAATGCTCCTGGCAACACCACCTGCGTCAGAAAGGAAGATGGACATTGAAGAAACTCGTTATAGAGTTTGCTTCTAGTATGGCAAGACAAGCCATTTGGACAAGATACTGCTCTTGTTTGGACTGTTTGACTTTATGCTGTATAAACTGGACATGCAGGACCCACAGAAAAGTGACTGCTGATTCAAGATGGACATTGCTACAGAGTTCCTGCTTCATGGAAGAGTCTGCGAGGCAGTATGCAGGACACAGAGAAAAGTGACTGATAAACTGCCAATACAAAAAGACAGTTTAAAGTTTCCTGCGTTGCTGAAGAGTCTGCTAGACACACTATGGCCTATGGGCTGAAGATGGAAGATTACAAAAGAACTTCGGGTAACCAGGCAGTGAGTTGTCTCTGTCATTTCTAGAGCTTATATATTATCCTTCTGTGGTCTTTGAAGGAGTTGAAGACAGGTAGTTATGGTTATAGTTTTCATTAGTTAGGATTAAAGATAAGTTACGTAGACTTTAGACACACAAAGATAGAATAGATGATGAAATATTTTCTTCAAATCTTGCTAAATGTTAATGGACTAAATATTGTTAACTGTGATTCTTACTTGATAACTGTTGTATAATATATTTTGCTATGTTAAGGTTAAAATGCTTCTTTTTATTTAGACAGAAAAAAGGAGATGATGGGAGATGCCATTATGTATATATGTTTCTCATACTGGTTAATAATAAAGCACTGTTGGCCAATAGGAAAGGAAGATAGGAGGGACTAGGAGACAAGGAGGCAATAGGAAGTAGGAAGGAGGAGTCAAGATGGAGAGTCTGGAGAGAGCTGGACGCCAGCCGCCTCCCGGTAAGAGAAGGCCATGTGAAAATACATAGATCAGCAGAAATGGGTTAATAATAAAGGCAGAGCTAGCCAATAAGAAACAAGTAACCGGGCCAACAGTATAATATCAAATACAGAGTCTCTGTGTGTTATTTGGGGCTGGCGCGGCAGCAGGACAAGACCAGCGGTGGCGGGCGGAAAAACCATACTCGTTACACACCAGGGAGACAGAGACAGGCGGATCTCTATGAGTTTGAGGCCCAATCTGGTATACAGAGAGAATTTCAGCTACAGAGAAACTCTGTAATATATTATGATTTATTAAAGCCACTAGAGGTCAAAATAGCAAAGCAGCCATACTGGTTAGCCATGGAAGCCAGACAGTGGTAGTATACATCTTTAATCCCAGGGCTCAGGGTACAAAGGCAGATGGATCTCTCTGAATTCAAGGCCACATAGGGCTTCACGAGATTGAATCAGTCTAAAAGAGTAACAGAGCTCAGGCCTTTAATCCCAGCACTAAAGAGGTATAAAAGATAGGAGCCAGCTGCAGAGAGGCAGCAGTCTAAGGCTGGATGGAGAACTCTTGGAGACAGGATCGGACTTTTCAGTCTGAGATAGAGATAAGAGCTAGTGGCTGAATGCTTTGTTTTTCTGATCTTCACTTAAGTTGAACCCCAGTATCAGTCTCTGGGATTTTAATATTTATGCTATACTCTGTCTCAAAAAAAAAAACAAAAAGAAAAAGGAAGGACTCCAATGTATTCATGTTTGTAATATCTTGTTTATTTGTTTATTTATTGGAGAAGTTACAGTGAAGAGGTCAGAATATAATGCCATGTTAGACACAGAGGAACTCCATTGTAGATAATGACCTAAGCCTGGGTCCACAAAGTGCCCCAGCCAAGTTTAGCTAATAAGCTAAACAGTTTCAAAATTGGCCTTATAAGGCTGGGAGACCCAAAGTTGCAGGATACGGCTGTTACTGACCATATATGACTAAAAAGCTCACAATGGGTGAAACTGTTACTAGCCCTGTCCAATCAACATTCACCCCATGTAAGTGCTCCGTGACTGCCCAATTGGAACAGAGATTAGCTCACTCACCAAGGGCCTTCATGACTTTCTCCTGGGTTGTCATCCCCACTGTGTGGATGATCTACCCTTGTATGCTAGCTGTTTCTGCAAAATAAAGGGTCTTTGTGTTTGCATACTTTTCTTCATCAGTTCTCAGGTCCTGACGATACTAGTATTTCACCCTGATCTTAAACTCACAACCCTATTTTAGCCTCCTGACTGATGGAATCACCCATCTTGTAATCTTCATTTTTTTCATAATATTTTTATTGATTATTTGGAAATTTCACATCATGAACCAGAGCACACTTCCCAGTCCTGCCAGATCTGCCCCCAACACCTGTGGGTCCCTCCCCCAACCCATACAGACCCCCCCAATTAAAGAAAAAAACAAGTCCAATTCGTGTTGCCCATTTAAAGACACATGTTAGTTCAGTAAGTAGGTGTTTGCCTCACATTGAGCTGTAAATTCAATCTCTAGCAGCATAGCAAGCTTAGTAATAGAGTAAATGGTAATATCTACAATCACAGCAACTGGAAGGTAACCACAGAAGATCAGGAGTTCAAGATCATTCTATGCTTCACAGTCAAACTGAGCCCAGTGTGAATAAGACCCTGTGTACAAAACAAACAAACAAACAAACAAACAAAAAACCCCAACTTAAAAAAAATAACTTCAAAAGCTTGAGGTGTTGGAGCAGTTCACATTTAAAGATGTTCAGCAATTCTGAAAGATCTGCAAGATATTAAGTTTCCACCCCTGGACAAAGGGCTGAAATGCCCACTTAAAATACCAAAGCAGACTTGGCCATTATGTTCTCCTTGAATCCCTCAGTCCCTACCTGTTAAATGGAATCACCCTCTACCCTGAACCCTTCTGCCTTTCTCCAGAGGCTCTTCCCTACATAATCCAGATATTTTAGTTCACTGCCACTTCTGTACCTTTGTCTCCAGACTGTAGCACCTGGCTCCTGTTTCCCTTCGTCAACCTCTCTCACAAATGGCCCAGCTCAATCTGGTCGTGTATACTCAGAACTCTCCCAGATGCTCATTTTTGTAACCTCATTTTTGTATTTTTTTTAAATTTTTATACTAAGAGCAATTATCTTCTGAATGTAAATGTGTATCTGTGAAAACAATTTATATTAAATATTAAGACTACTTAATATCATCTAACAATCCAATAATGGCATTGTGACACTATGGTATGCAACACTGGAACTAGCCAAAATAAAAACTTTTTTAGAACTCCATGTTTATTTCTTGTTATTTATGATTAAGTTCTATTTTCTACTATAGTAGATATCTGTGGGTAAAATGCAAATTGGTACCACCTTTTAGAAATCAATTAGCAATATATAGTCTTTAAAAACTTACAAAGTATTTAAAAGGCTTAAGCCCTAGATGGGCAGTGGTGGCACAAACCTTTAATCCCAACTCTCTGGAGGCAGAAACAAAATGATTTCTGTGAGTTGGAGGTAAGCCTGGTCTACAGAGTGAGTTCCAGGGCCAGCTCTAAAGCTACACAGAGAACCCCACCACCACCACCAAAAAAAAAAAAAAAAAAAAAAAAAAAAAACACCCTTGTTTTACACAGTATTAGGTACTTCCTAGGGAGAAGAAAAGAGAAGCAATATACAATAAATTGATTGCTGATCTGGGCACAATTAAGTTGGGGAGATTATAGGAGAACGTGTAAATGACAGATTTCAACACACCATTCCCGACCATAAATGACTTAACAATGACATAACATGGAAGTCATCTTAGGTTAACCGAATACATTTTATTTATATTGGGGTAATACGTAAATTTGATATTTCTAGGCGTTAAAAGGATATGGAAAATGAGAAGTCTACTATTGGGATGAGAAGACTGTGAACAGGTCTGCATGAACTTGGGACCGCTGGAAAAAGTTCACATCTTTTTCGGTGCATCTATCATCAAAAGTGTTTGCTATTTCAAATGCTCCATACACAAAGTGTGTGCTCGGGATAACACTGCTTGCATGCTATTAGTGCAATGATGTGCTTTGTACACTCGACTTGAAACTTTATGAGACCGACCGACCGTCTGACTAGTAGTTAATGAAGTGGCAGCTAATGTGAGATTTTACCTTAGAATTGTGGTTAATTCTCGGAATGCACCTGAGCCACAATTCTGCTCATTCTAAAGCGCTGTGTGTTTTTCAAACTGGCACAGTCCCGGAAGAACATCGGTGCTGAGGCTGCGCACATGGACCAGGGGGCCGGTTAAACGGGCGGTCTGGTCCTCACTCACCCCCAGCCAAGCCAGCGCGTCCGCTTCTTGGGCCGAAACTGCACAACGCACAACGCGCCCAGCGCCGGGGAGGATGCGGGCCACAAGGGGGACGGGGCTCGCCGGGCCTTCCGCTTCCGCCCACGGGTGTCTCATCTATAACTGTCCGGGTCCACCCCCACGGCGCTCACCTGAGGGAGTCCGGCGGGGAATCCACCGCCTAGCGCCAGGCTCCGACCCGCCTTCCAGTCTCTTCTGCGCCTGTGCAACCCGAACGTTCGCGAAAATTCCTGAAGCGGCCCCGGCGGCTTCCGGAAGCCGGCAGCAGCGGCCTGCAGCGTAGTTGTGGCGTTTGGCGCGGTGGTTTCCTTTCAGTCCCGGAGGTCTGGGTTTCACCTGGGGGACGGGATGGCGCTTCTGTGTTACAACCGCGGCTGTGGCCAGCGTTTCGACCCCGAGGCTAACGCGGACGGTAAGGCGGACCCTTCCCACGAGAGCCGCTCCCGGGGCACCCACGTGTCTGCCCCTCCCGCAGCGCGGAGCAGGGCTGCAGGGCCCGACCTCCGTGCCCCCGGAGCCCCTCACACCTCGGCGGGCGTCCCCTGCACCTCCTCAGCCCCGGGGCTTTAACCTGACCCGGTTAGCGCTTCGTCACGGCCCTGACTGCCTGGGCGTGAGAGGTCAAACAGCGGGCGGGTGGGCACTGGGCCATTCTTGCATTGGACTTTGTGTTGCGTGAGGGTACTGGTGGAGAGCGTGTTGTCTCACGTGTTCATTCAGCCCACCTCTCCCGTAACAATCTCTTGCTCGCTAAAGAACTGTACTCGGTTGCGGAAATGACTTTTACCCATCCGTTGCACAGTAGCGACGTTTTCCGTATACTTTTTGCCCGGGGCCTGCGGTTTTAAACCGCGCCAAGCAGCATTAAGTGAGCCCCAGTGGTGCCTCCAAAAAAACCAGTGTGGTCTAGTTAAGAATGAACGGTGGAAGCAAGCACCTTTGCTGGGTGAACTCAGAGGTGCGAGTGAATCTCATTAGTGAGTGGAATAATTCTGCAGGTTACTAGACTATTGTGCAAAGTGACAGCACTTGCCTCAGATTCACCTAGCAGGTGTAAGTACTCTTTTTATATGCAAGGTATCGGACTGTCACTTCGTTATATAACTGAACGCCACTGAAGTGTATCGCACTGCAGACCGGAGTGTGGTGGTAACACAATTCAGCATCGTGAAAGAGTTTAAAAGCAGTACCTTAATTAGAGATCTTTTTTACGTTTGAGGGATTAAAATACTTTTCTTGGTACCCCAGTAAACTGGTGACTTCTTTCGAAACAGAACTGGTGCAGGATTTAAAGAGAAAGATGAAGCCAGTCTGCAAGCTCTTGTTAAACTGCTTGGGTTATGTGCACGTTCTGCTTTAGTACCGACTACACTGATGCCTCGTAGGGCATTGTTTTTATGGTACTAGATTCTGGTTCAAAGTTCAGGAGAGATACCAGCTTGTTACTGGAAGTTAAGTCTGTATGTGGAATGATGTAGTACCTAGAAAATATAAAAAACCAGGCTAGGAAAGGCCCACAAGTAAATAAACACTCATCAGTTTGCAGCTATTAACAGCATCATATACAGCAGGGGAACTCCAGTCAGCAGGTGAGAAAAATTATTTACTTTAACAAAGTGGGAATTGTTTCAGAGTCTATGGATAAATGTCAAGTAAATTTATTGAATGACGTGAATGACTGGCAATTGATAACACTGGATTTAATAAAAGGTTTTTTGGAGTGGGAATAATTTAACATTACAAATTAAGGGGATAATGTTAAAGGCACCAATCTATATATGGTCTTATGCTGTCAAGGAGTACAGAGATGGATGTGTTTTGTAAGAAGTTGTAAATCATTTGCTGGCGGTGGTAGTGCAGGCCTTTAATCCAAACACTTTGGGAGGCCAAGACAGGTGGATCTCTGTGAGTTTTAGGCCAGCATGGTCTACAGATCGAATTCCAGGACAGGCTCCAAAGCTACAGAGAAACCCAGTCTTGAAAAACCAAAAAGAGAGAGAAAGAGAGAGAAATAGCTGTAAGTCTGTTTGCATTCTTTCTTTTCTTAATGCTGGGGTCTAATTTCCATGTTATTGTCTTATTTTGTTTCTTTGTTTAAATAATCTATTCATATTTTTATTTTATGTACATTGGTGTTTCACCTACCAGCATATACGTCTGTGTGAAGGTGTCAGGTCCCTTGGAACTGCAGTTACGGTTGTGAGCTGGGACTTGGGTGCTGGGAATTGAACCAGGATCCCCTGGAAGAATAGCCAGTGCTCTTAACTGCTAAGCCATCTCTCCATGCCCCTGTTTCATCTCTTTTTAAGTTTATTTTTGTTTGTTTTGTTTTGCCTTGTATACAAAAATCAGACTTTTCCAGATGATAGGACATTTTAGTGTGTGATCAAGTACGTGTTAAAAAGAAGTGTAAACCGTCACCTGCATGTGTTACTTACTCTACAGTAGACAGCCTTACAAGCAGCACAGCAGCTAGGAGTGGCAGCTGAAAATTTTAGCTAAACCTAGCTGTGAAAAAAGCTCTCAAAATTAAGTGGCTAATCTGTTGTAGCTTTTCATCATTAAAAAGAATTTCTGCAAACTAGTAAACCTGATAAATGTTAGAGAGGCAATTGTCCATCTAATTGTCCTTTCCTCTTGACAGAAGTGATTTTTCACGTTTCATTCATGCTGGTTACATGGTGAAGATCCAGCTGTCCTGATGTCCTGCCTAGCTGTGTGTATACATTATATACTTTATGGCAGTGGTTGTACATTAAATTAAATGATCTGGTATTCCCCTTTCAACTTCATGTCTTTGCATATACATTCCCATACCCACTTCCTTATTCTAACTCTGCTGTATGGAACTAGGAGCCTTTCCTAACCTGCAGGTTTTCTTTTTATTCCATTCCTTTAGCTAGTATTTTATACACATAACCAGCACTTCCTAAGGAGGTAATATTAGTAGAGTGTAGAGAGGTTTCAAGGTAACACTAGAAATCATATTGTAGGGAATTAAAAATTAAACTTGGAAAGCTGAGTAAAGTAGGAAAATTACAGAGTAATTTGTTTTTCTCTAACCTCATGGTACTGTATTTTCAGATAATAAATGTTGTTCTTTTGCTGTAGCTAATGCCTATAAAACACAAACAGGAGACTCAGTGCCCACGTGGAGTTTATTGAGAGAGGGGAGAGAAAGTGGGGTAGCTGGTAGCCAACCGAAATCAGGAGGGGGGGGAGGGAGAGCAGAGAGGAAAAGCAAGGGGGTGGTAAGAGAAGGGGGCCAGAGAGAGAGGGGTGCCCTTGCTTTATAAGGGGGGCTTGCACATGTGTAATTGAGTCCTCTGGCAGCCAGGTGAAGCCTGAAGTATCAATGACATGGCCATGAGTGCCATGCCCATCATCAGGGGCAGGGGGTCAGCAGGCTGCTGATTCCCAACAATAAGTGTATCTGTTACCTGATTGTTTTAAACAAAATACTTCACATTGCCAGTGATAATAGACATATTTTGTAAAGAGTTACACAAGTTAAAATTTTTTTTCTGTAATACGGAGAAAGACTGGAAATACAAAATGATCAATGGTTATGAAATGGACTATAGAACTCAACTCTGGTTTCTCTGGTTTGTATCTAGGAATCATTTGTTTAGAATGCTAACAAAGCAATAGCAGTTACTCAAAATGCTGTCCTTTTTTTTTTTTTTTTTTTTTTTTCAAAAATATCATTTTAAAGACTCTCTTGAACAGTTTTGATGGATTGGCTTATAAGTGTGGAAGTTTGATATTTGTCTAAAAAGATAATTGAGATATGGCCAAAAAGAAGATGGGAAGGAGTGCTGTGAAATTCTGTGCTCTCAACATGACATGACTGATGAACTTACAATAGCTGTGCTTGCCTGAACAAGACTGCACAATACAACACCATCTAGTTCAGATATTACAGCACAGAGTAGGAAGGATGTCTGTGACTTCCCCCACACTAAGCTGAGAAGCTGTTGGTAGTTGATGGCTGCTGGGCAAGGGGAGGGGGACTTTTCTTCCTGGGTGTGGCTAGCTAGAGAGATGCATAAGCATGTATTAGGCATTGGTAGTTGGACTCAGTGGACTTGAAGTTGTGGGGAAAGGAGATGGGTTGGTGAGTGTAGGTGGGGGTAAAAGGGAGGCAGGTGGTCGTGACTAAGATACTTTGTATACCTGTGTGATTTTTTTTAGAGAATAAAAAGAAATATTGCCAGAATCATTAGGACTTAACCTTTAGTAGTAAGCAAATTTTACTACAAAGATGGAGGAATATAAAGCAATGGTTCTCAACCTGTGGATCAGGACCCCTTTAGGGGTCAAATGGCCCTTTCACAGGAGTTACCTAATACCATTGGGAAACAGATATTTACAGTATGATTCATTAACAGTACCAAATTACAGTTATGAAGTAAAAATGAAATAGTTTTATGATTGGGGGATCACCATGAGGAACTGTATTAAAGGGTCACAGAATTAGGAAGTTTGAGAACCACTGCTGTAGATTATTCCTGAATGTTTTCTTGAACAGTTTGTATTACTTTTTTCCATGTAGCATATGCTTGGAGATTTAACTGCTTTTAATACAAGGAATTAATAAAGTGTTAAGAGTAATTTACCTGCATTTGGAAAAAGGATCAAACCCTAACAACCTGAAAGAGTGATTCTTAAACTTCTAATAATAAACAGCTGTTGTTTTCTTTTTCTGTTTTTGACCAGATGCTTGCACATACCACCCAGGTGTACCGGTATTTCACGATGCCTTGAAGGTAGGAACAAGATACTTTTCAGCATAATAAACTTAAAGATATATTTTTTTTTTCCTCCTTTGGCTTGTCTGTTTTTCTTAATGACCATTTTTTGGGGTGCTTTAAGCATATTCTTTAAAGACAGACAATAGTAGACAGTGGTATTTTTTAGTTATAAAGTTATTTTATTTAAATCCTAACCCAGTTTCCCAATTATGTATTTCCTGCCTAAGCTTGAAGTTAAATAAAAGCAGTCATATTGTATATGTCATGATTCAAGGAGATAAGTACAAAACAGTTTTAGGAGTTTGTTTGTCTTTATTTTATAGGGTTGGTCTTGCTGTAGGAGAAGAACAACTGATTTTTCTGACTTCTTAAGCATTGTAGTAAGTACTACTTTATTTCTTTATTATTTTTCTTAAGGTACAGCCTCCTAGAATCTGCAGATGGAGCAGTCAGATTGCACCATACTTTGCAAAGGGCCCTCTCATGGCCTCTATAAAATCTTTTGTTTGCTTTGGAGAATAAGATTTTATTATGTTAACTATTCATTTGTCATTTTATGTTTTGATTTTAGTAGTTCTAAAAAGAAGCAGTAAGTTATGGGCAGGCAGTGATAAAGAACATTTTCAATTAGAGGCAGTAAGTAAATTTTATCAAAACATCAGTGAGATAGCTCATTGTTATATGTGGCACCAAGAAAGGAAGTTACTTCTATATTATAGACAAGAAAAATACATTTTAAAAGATTATTTGAGTTAAGTTCATATTTCAGTTTAATAGGAAAGTTGAAGCTTAGATTGAAACCTTTTTGTTTATGTTTTGTTTTACAGCAGGGCCTCACAAAGTCCAAGTATAGCCAAGGATGACTTGAACTCTTGACCTTCCAGCCTCCAAATACAGATAGCATGCCAGACTTAGTGGTATTGGAGGTCAAACCCAGGGCTTTGTATGTGCTAGATAATCACTCTACCAACTCAGACTGTAGGCTAAGAGCTTTTTAAATAAAGAGGTGTAGCATGTATACATAATTTGAAAGGGCTTTTTAAAAAAAAAAACACCCAAAATACAAATATGCATACATAAAATCAGTGAAAGCATGACTGTCCTGTTACGTCTTCTAACAGGGCTGTACAAAAGGAAGGCATAACAGTGAGAAGCCACCTGAGCCAGTCAAGCCTGAAGTCAAGACCACAGAGAAGAAGGAGCTATCTGAGTTAAAACCCAAATTTCAGGAGCACATCATTCAAGCCCCTAAACCAGTAGAAGCAATAAAAAGGCCAAGGTATACTCTGTACAGCTGCTTATATTTGTAACACTATGATAATGGCATTTGCTGGCATATTTCCTTTTAACGTATATAAAGGCATTTACAGTGGCCACTGTGTGTGGTTTTTCCTTTGGTAATAACCCGTTAATGTTTGAGGGCATATAGAGTTGGTAAGCTGTACTTCTTTTCTGGTGTATCTTTCTCATGTGGATTGGTGGAATTCAGTAAAAGAATTGTCCTTTTATACAAATAGTTTGAATTGAAGAGCCAACAGAGGCATAACCACTTTACTTTTCAGGTTGAAGATGGGTTGATTACTCTCATTAGTACTTACAGAGTTTATTTACTTGGGATACCTGCCTGTCAGAATACTTTAAAAATGGTTTTGGTTTGGTTTGAAGTAGAACTAGATTGTTTGTAATCACCTTCTGTTTAAACAAGACTATATTTTGAAACACGTTAGTGGATTAACTCATGTAATACAAGATCCTAAAACTGCACTTAAATAGTGATTGTTTCAAAACTTGAACTACAGAATGTAAACACAGGATTTCTGCTCCAGCTTTGTCTCCCAGATGAGTTCTTTGTAAATAGAAGCCTGAGAAACCATGAAAAACAATTGAAGCTTTTTCACACTATAAATTTACAGTGTTCCCAACTTTTTCTTCATTATACTTAAATAAAATTGTAGACTATTACATATTATAGCACAAGATAATCCCAACTTTTACCCCGAGATTGATAGCTGAGGAAACCAGCATTGGCTGACTCAGACCCTCTGAACGTGGGTCTCAGTTAGGAGGCCTGGGCAGTCTAAGGGACCCCCTGATAGTGGAACCAGGATGTATCCCTGGTGCACGAAAGGACATTGGGAGCACATTCCCCATGGAGGGATACTCCCTTAGACTAGAGGCAGGAGGGAGGGCCTAGACCCTATTCCAAATGACTTGACATATTTTGATGATCCCTCCTGGAAGGTATCACCCTTCCCGTGGAGTGGGGGGGGGGCATGGGAGGGAAAGGGAACTGAGATCAATATGTAAAATAAGAAAAATAAAATATATGTGTGTATATACATACATACGTACATACACGCACGCACATATTTATAACGAATCCTAACTTTTGATGTTTGCTAGCTCATTAATAGAGGTATAGATTGTAGTTAAATATCAAAATGCTTTTATTCTACCTGCGTTAATTCAGTCTTAAGAGCTGTCAGACACAAGCCTAGGCAGTTCAAAAAATACATACTAGTAAAACACAAGAATTTTGTCATAGTATAGTTTATCCTTAAATCTATTAAATCTCAGTAGACCTCATAAAAAACAGTAATAGTATGAGGTAATACCATTTATTTAAATGATAGACTACAGATTTATAAATTTTACTTGAAGCTATAAGACAAATGTATTTATTATTAAAGTCTGCATATGTCATCTCTGCACATAAAGTTAATTGACTAATACAAATAAGTATGCTTTCACTTAGTGCTTTAGGAGTTGTGCTATGAATTTTGCTTGTGGATGAACTGAACAGAATTATACAGTCCTTTCCACAGAGTTTATATTCCTAGACTTTACTCACTTCCTATAGCTCCACTGTGTAGTTATTTTTTATGCTAGCAGTGGCTTGATCTTTGAAACTTAATTTCTTAATAGGAAAACCATTTTATTAAAAGTTACAATGTTGGTAGATTGTGACATTGTTCGTAAAATACTTTTATTAGGAATAACTTGATATAAAAAATTAAATATTTCATATGGACGATTTTTAAGGTTATCAATTTTTTTAAGTACAATGAAATACCTTGGTCTACTGATGATAATATGACTTCAAAATTCTCCAGCCCAGATGAACCAATGACAAACTTGGAATTAAAAATATCTGCTTCCCTAAAACAAGCACTTGATAAACTTAAACTGTCATCAGGGAATGAAGAAGATAAGAAAGGTAAGACGGTGTTTTTTGTTTTGTTTTACAATATTCTTCTGTATAAGAAGCCATTCAAAAGAGATACTGGTAGTGCACTGAGTATGTGAAAATATAGCACATTGTAGGAAGAGCTTCCTTTATTCCTCAATGCTAATAATACCATGAAAGATCATTCAATTCATTGATTATGTCTGTATGAAAACTTATCACCCCTTATTTTATCAATTGAATTTCTTAAATAACAAATTTTTGTGCATCATATAAAATACATTTTATTATCCATTTGACCTCTGCCTAATACCAAGAGATAAAAATATCTTCCATGATTTCTGCTACCTAAGATTTTATAAAATTGGATAAGCACAGCATTGTAGAATAAAAGAAAACACATTTGGGGGCATGTAGGTGAAACCTAGGTATAGGGCTTTTTGTTTGTTTTGTTTTGAGGCAAGACTTGTTTAGTAGTTTGTCTTGGATGTTGCTGTGTGGTCTAGGATGTCTTAGAACTCATAATCATCTTGCCTCAGCATTCCAAGTGCTGGGATGTATACATCGATTGAGCTGTGGGTTTCTTTATTTCTCTCTCTTTTTTTTCCCCCTCAAATCAGGTTTATTTAATAGAAAGATTATTTTTTAAGACTAATGCAACAGTGGGGTTCTATTTTAATATTATAGTTTTAGCTTTTATTATTCTTGTTTAAAAAGAACATCATTATGAAACCTTTTGTTACCTTTTTTTTTTTCCATTGCAGAAGAAGACAGTGATGAAATTAAGATTGGGACTTCTTGTAAAAATGGAGGGTGTGCAAAGGTATACATTATAAAACTTTGGACTTATGGAGTACAGTTTTAATATTGAAGCATAGGACTCTGACACACTCTAAAGTTAGCAAATAGTTGGGGGCTAGTTACATGTTGGGCACTTCATTGCAGACTAAGAGGAACATCTGGTAGAATTGTTGGAACAAATTTAATTTGATTAAAATTTACTCTAAGCACTTGGTATGTGTGCTCTACATTGTTTCAGGGGATGGAGATAACATTATCCAACAAAAACCTCTGTGCCTAAGGAGCACATTCTGATGTGAGCAGGTGAAAAGAATAGGCTATTGAATAATTCAGGCAGACCAGAAGTAAATCAAATGATTGGGTCAACCACAGTGGTTTTAATCAGGTGCATGGGCAGTAATCTGAAAGCAAGTAGGCAAAGATGGTGAAAGGTCTAAACCAGGATGAGGGTTTGAGTTATTTCAAACTATGATGGTAACCCTTTACCTTTTGGGAAAGTGTTTTGTTATGTTGGTTGAGGCAATTCTCCTTCTACCCCAGCCTAGTGTCAAATTTCATTTGTGTCCCTCAGTTGAGTTCAGGATTACAGTTGTGTACCATGATGACAATTTAGGGAGACATAAAGAGAGATGTCTGTCACAAGTGGAAATGGAGAAAGAGAAACCAGCTTGGATAATTGTAGAAGACCAGGCAGTGTCATTCTGGAGAGTAGGTTGCTAAGAATTGACTAAATGTGGGGTATGGTTAAACATCATGAGATCTTTTTCTGTCTGCTCTATACCCTCTCATACTTTTTCCTCTGTAACACTTTTTATTTACCTTACGTGGTTCCTTCAGTTACCAGCTACTTTCTCTGTTGTGGTGAGGGTTATGATAATGTGGTTTTCTTTGTCTTGTTGTGTGTTGAATACTTGGAACAGTGCCTGGCACATAGGTGATACGTGTACAGTTAATGGTGTAGTTTGAGTAATTGTGCCTTCAAGAATCTGGGTAATTGGTGGACTTAGGGTCACAGCCTATGCCCCAAGAAGCCAAGTTCAGCCACCCATTAATTTAAACAGATACATTAATCTGAGAAAAACAGAAAGGGCTTTTTATTCATGTGATCAAATTGGGAAGAAGGACAAAGATCCCGCAGCACCCACTTTGTGTATGTGGCTTAAATAGAGGGCTAGGGGTTATCGTGGTTAAATAAGGATCAGGATAAACAAATAGGCCGAATAGATGTTTATTCAGGGAGAAATAACTTACAACCTAGACAGATGAACACCAGGAAATTCAACCTGATGCTCTCCTGTCCGAGTCATACCAGCAAGGGAGCTTTTCCCGGCTCTCTCTCTGACCTCCTTCCACAGGTCACTTCCGCCCATGGCTCCACCCCCCAATGGGCGTGGTCAGTCCACAGAAGGACTATCTCACTACAAGGGGTATGCATAATTAAGTAGTCCTACTCAAGGTCTGGTCCCACCCACCATAAGTTCATCATTGTCTGACCTTTCCGTTTGACTTTTCTCCTGACATATTCCTAGTGGCAATTTGTTTTTTGGAGTCCATTGTTTGAGTAGTTAAAATAAGGAACACAAGTATTTCAGTCAAGTAATTAAGAGTGCTGGCTTCTGTTCCATTGGACCCAGAGTTGTTTGTAACATCCATATGGCAGTTCAGAACTCTAGGTCAGGGGGATCCATTGCCCTCTTTGACTCCCTGGCCACAAGGCACACACTTAGTACCAGACATGATCAAGCAAAACACCATACTCGTAAAACAATGAAATAACAATAAAAATGCTGTCTTGGTCCCTGCCAGAGCAGTTAGAATACAGTTGAGAGTGAAGGCGGAGTCTCAGCAGGTTTGTTTTCTTTCTCTAAAGTTTGAGCTTCCCTTGCTTACTAAAGTGGAAGGGAAGTGGAAGTGTAAGTTCATATGTATAAGGTGTAAGTAGTAAGTGAAAGGGTAATTTTTTAAATTTAAATTTTACAGCTTTTTAAAATCTTTTCATTATATATATTTTGGTAATACTCTTCATACTCCCAAGCCTTTTCAGGTAGATCCTGCCTACCCACCTAACTCCATGTTCTTTCTCTACCTCTCTCAATAAGTAAATAAATCACCAAAGCATAACAAAAAATGCACACATACAAAAGCTGGAATCTGGCTTGTGTTGGACAGCTCCTGAGCATGAGGCCTGTCCTGGGTGGAGCATGGTTGATTTTTTTTTTTTTTTTTTTTTTTTTTTTTTTTTTCCCCTTACTCAGCAGGTACCAGTTGTGATTGTTCTTGGTTCGGTGTGCCCACTTCACTTCTGTTTTGGAATTTTCTGTTTTCTGTTTTTTTTTCAAGTTTTGTACATGCTGTCAGTCTGTTGATGTGTACATTAGTTTTGTTATATCTGGAAATGCTGTTTGCTTGGAGTCATCAACTACCTCTGGCTTATACAATCTTTCTACCTCTTCCTCATACGTTCCTGAGCCTTGAATGGGGAGGGTTTTTATACAAACATCTCGTTTACAGCTGAGTGCTCCAAGGTTTCCCACTGTCTGCCCGCTGTCAAATTTCTCTGTGTTAATTACTACCAACTACAAGAAGCATCTCTGAAGGACTTGAGTGATATGGGACCTATAGAAGAGCAATGTCTTTCCCCCCTATGCTCAGTCAACAGAGTAGTAGTAGGCTTTCCCCCAGAGCCCATAGTCTTATCTACCTCAAGTTCTTAGCCTCAATAAGTTTCAGGTGTGGATTCCACCTTGTGGAATAGGGCTTGAGTCCAATCAGAAGGTGGGCAGTTTGTTATGCCCCTAACATTTGTGCTACTATTGCACCAATCTTGCAGGCAGTTTGTGCTAGAAGATACAGGGTTCATAGTTGGATGCTTTTGGTAAGAGAATGAGAAAGGCAATACAGGTGGTAGCGGAAACTCAACTTAATAAAAGTCTAAAAATAGGGAGAGGAAGATATACCTAGTAAAACTGATCACAGTAATAACAAAACCATGGGAATGTCATAATACTCTTTCCTTATATAGGTTGAAATTAAGAGAATACCAAATGTAAGTGCCTTTAGTGATGAGAAATTAAATTTTAGATTTAGAAATATTCAATCTATTTCATTGAAATAGTGACATTTGTTAGAACTTACACAAATACAAGTTTAAACTTGAAGGCTTTCATAATGAAGGTGGCAATATTGAGCATATCTTTATATTAAGTTTTTTGTTTTTCATTTTACATAACAACCACAGTTCCTGCTCCCCTTACCCCCTACTTCCTCCAAGGCGCCCTGCATCTACTCAGAAAGGATAAGGCCTCCCATGGGGAGTCAACAAAACCTGGCACTGTTCTGTTGAGGCAGGACCAAGACCCTTCCCCCTGCACAGAGGCTGAGCAAGGCATCCCACCATTTGGAATGGGACCCCAAAAAGCCACCAGGCAGGGATAGATCCTGTTCCCATTACCACAGGTCCGACAAACAGACCAGGCTACCGACCTGTGGAGGGCCTAGTTTGGTCCCCCAGCTGTCAATACAGAGTCAGTGAGTTCCCACAAGTTTGGATTCACTGTCTCTGAGTTTCCCCATCAGGCTGTTGACCCCCCTTGCTCACATAATCTCTCCTCCCTCTCTTCAACTGGACTCTTAGAGGTTGGTCTGTTGCTTGGCTCTGGCTGTCTGTATCTGATCTTAAAAACTACTCTGCACACATTTTCTATCCAAAGGTTTATTTTTTATCTACTGACATGTATTTTTGCTCTTGTCTTCTTTCACTTATGTTAGCTTTGTTTTAGGGAATATAGCCACTATCTTGCCGTTTTGGTGCTTTGTAAATGTCCTTGTTGAAGGTGTGCTACAATTAGTGATTTTTTTCCTTCCTGCTCTCTCTCTCTCTCTCTCTCTCTCTCTCTCTCTCTCTCTCTCTCTCTCTCTATTAACACCACTTTAGTGTATAACTTTTGTGACTAGAAATGGAATTGTATGTATGTGTGTTCAGTTTTAGCAGATGTACGTAGTTTTCAAAGGTTGTCTATTCTATATACTTGTCAGTATTTGTGAGTTGGAGCCACATGTCTGCACATTGGCACATGTCAGATCAGTGTTTCAGCAATACTGGTAGAGCATACAATTTTCTCACTTAGTATTTACTTGACTTCAGTGTGTCAGAGTTGAATACCCTTTTGTATGCCTGCTAACCAGTTCTTTTCCTCTCTGGCTAAATGTCCTTAATATCTCATCTGTCTCTTTTATCATCTTTTCCCCAACAATCTTGTAGGAATGATTTATCTTTTAGTTAAAAGTTCTTTGTCAGAGATATTTTGTTTTGCGTCCACTGAACTGATGATGTCTTTGATAAACGAACTACTTTCATGAAATGAAGTCTTTCTGATTTTTCCTTTATTGCCAGTGCTCTGCTTTATGTAGAAATACTTCTGAGCTGTAGTCATTTTCTCATGCAGAGGTAGTTAAATATGTGGGACGCTGAGTATGGTTGAAATGTGAGGTGTTTCTTAATCAAAGGACATGTGAGGACAATCACTAGTTCTTGAATGAGGTTGAACTGATGAGTGTTTTCTTTGAGTTTGACAAGATTTTATGATAACTTTAGAGGTAGAGAGGACAGATGTACTGACCCAGATTTGGAGGACTGAGTACATTTGCTGCCATTGAATAAGATAAAGGAGACATTTAGGTGGCAGCAATGGTAAGTTCAGATTCTAACATCCTGGAACTTTTGTACTAAGGTGGTAAACACCTAGTACTTTGTTTGTACTTACAGAAAAGAAACAGAAAATTTTGATCTTCTATACTTTAGTTAATAAGAATACAAAATTAGAAAATACAGTACTAGCTGCATCCATGTTTTATTAACATAACTTTTTGTGAATTCATCTGTAGAGCCTTCATGTACAGCAGCAGTGGGGCCCGGATCTCCAGACAAACCATGGATGTATATATAGGTCTGCAGCTCATTTTACCATTTGTAGGGATAAGATGTCACCATTCTACTGAAACTTCCAGAATTGCTTATTATATTTCCCATATTAATTGATAATGCCCACACAGAGTATACTTAACTATTTTGTGCATAGGATAAGCCCCTTGATTCCAACATGTTTCTGTAAATTTAAATACTTCATTCAATATAGTTCATTGTAACCTCATGCCTAAAAGGCTGATAGCATCTTGTGTAGTAAGTTGCCTACCTTCTGTTTGCTTTCTTTACAGGGATCTACAGTTTAATCATGTCCAAAGAGGGTCATTCTCCATTCCTTGATGAATTTGCCAGTGTTCTTGTAGCTGTTGTTATTTAAGTATTTTCTGAAGGCCTTTTGAGTAGCCGGTACTACACATAGGTATAAGATACAAGTGTGAGATGAACGGCTAATTTTTTCTATCTATCTTTGTTTTTTAGACATACCAGGGTCTACAGAGTCTAGACGAAGTCTGTGTATATCATTCTGGAGTGCCTATTTTCCATGAGGGGTAACTTACACATTCCTAATTAAAATATTTATAGTAGAGATTTAAAATATTAAACCTTTATGCCTTTAAACATTGCCATGCAGTTTTTGAGAAAGTTACCTACATTATCATTTAATCCTTATAATAATCTAAGAAAAGGACAAGGACAGTTGCCTTCATTAAACACAGGAGAAAAATACAGTTTTTAAATTATCGTTGTGATTCTTCAGTGGGCTCTTATTTGGAAATTTTAATTTAATCTGCAGCAAGGTCTTACTGGATGGATATGTGGACTGCCTCTGTCTCAGGGTACTCAGGCCTTAGCCTCCTGTAGAACACTTATAGGCATGTCCTTCCATGTGTCCTGAATTATTTTTCTTAAAGGACTCTGATTCATTTTTAGGATATTAGAATTTTTGGTCATAGGACACTAAAACACCATTACCCAAGAAAGCCCTTGCTTTTCCATAACTCTAATTTTTGAGTTTGTCTCTATATAGTGATACAATTAATATGTAGTGTTCAGCTATTTCCACATGCTCCAGATGCCTGGAGGTCTGTAATTTTTAGTTAGCTGTGCAGGGAATTTCTCCACTTAGTAGTAGCAGTTTTCCCTTCTGTGAGATTGGCTGCCATATGGAAACACTAGTTTCTACTTTGTTTCATAGTCTTTAACGGGTTGTTGAAGTGTTAATATTTGAGTATTTGGTCATGCCACTTTTTGCTAGCTTCATGGAGAATTAGGGTTTACATTATCAGTGAAAAACTGGACTTGGAATTTGTGATTGTTTTATATAATTACTCAAAAGCTAAGTTAATGCAATAAATGCTTTTTAAATTACTAGTTTCCCTAGTATGTATCCATTTTAACTGTTCACTAGCAAATACTTGTAAAATATTTAAAGTTGGAGTTTTTATTTCTTAACTGTATTTGTTACAATAATAATACTGATTTTAATTCATTGGTTAATTTAAAGGATGAAATATTGGAGCTGTTGTAGAAGAAAAACCTCAGATTTTAATACATTCTTAGCCCAAGAGGGCTGTACAAAGGGGAAACATGTGTGGACTAAAAAAGATGCAGTAAGTAACCTTACAAAATCACTTGCTGACCTGCTGCATTCTTCTAAGTCATTTCTAAAAGATCTGAGATTAGAATGTGTTTATGTTACAAAAAATAGCTTTTTTATACGGTACCTGAAGCATTGGCGTATGTACAAAGTAGTTACTCTGATTCTCCCAAGGTTGCCTATGGACAAAATAACCCTTGTGTGTACTGATGTATGTATGTATGTATGTATATGTTTTCAGAAATACTTTAAACCTGCGAATATTGAAAGATCTTTGTCTTAATTAAAATCAGTTTCACAGAGCTGGAGATTTGGCTCCACAGGGAAGAGCACTTGTTCTTGCAAAACACCAAGATTTGATCCCATCACTCACAAGAGTCACCATTTCCTTAGGCACAATACATGCATGTGGTGTGCAGACATACAGAAAAGTAGAAAATATATTTTTAAAATGGAGTTCCACAGCCTTTTCCTAATTTTAAAATTATTTCATAAAATGCACTTCCTGTTAATTTAATGTTACTAAACCAATATGTTGGCCCCAGTTCTGTTTGGCCACAGAGTCAGTGAGCCATGCATATAGTCCCTAGTCCCTCCTCCATCCAGTGTCCAGAGTGTTGACTCTAAAGTGCAATTACTTAAAAAAGAATTGCAGAACATAAGTTCTGATTTCCTGGGTTTATTTCCAAAACATCTTAGGGCTATGAACATAATTCCCTTAAGCTCTTTAAGGTAAAAAGAAGAAAACCAGTTAGTTGCTTCGTAAGGGTTTGAATGCTAGGTCTTATTATTTTAATAGCATAATCTTTTATGCTATGGTGACATGATAACCTTTTAGGAACCATTCTGGTTCATAGAAAACTTCGACCTTTTAACTTACAACTGAGCTTTTCGGGCTAGAGGCGTGTTCACTCTTTGGTGTCTCACTCAGTGTTGTTGGCTTCGGGTCGTAGATTTCTGACCATAAAACTTGCAGAAATGTTTGATAGCAGAAAGTGAAATATCCTGTGCATTTTCTGATATCAAAACCTTAAATAGTTTTAAAAAATAAATTATGCTTTACTTTTTGTTTCAAAGTTTTAAGAGTGTATTCCTGATGAAGTGTAACTATTTTCTTTTTTTTTTTTAAATACAAATGTTTAGTTTCGTGAACTTTCTGACTAAATTATTCTTTTTAGAAAACTCACAATCTGTTCATTTATTTTGGAAAATTGGCTGAAACCGTAGTGTAGCACTAGAAAATAATGGTCATTTCCATAATAGCAATCAAAAGATGGTTTCTGTCAGTTGTGACATTTTCTGTGTGCTAATACGAAAGGACAAAATAATTTAATATAATCATGGGAATAGTTATTGATTGACAGTGTGTGTGCATGGGTGTGATGGTTCCATGTTTGGTGTCTTCCTCTATTAATACCTTTATGAAATATGGGTTCTTTCTGAGCCTAGAGCTGTGGGATCTTGTGTTCATCCTTCTAGCACTAGTATTACAGAATCATGCTACCAGATATGAACTTTTTCTATGTGGATGCTGATGTTCCAAACTCAGTCCCTCATTTTTTGGAAAGCATTCTTAGTACCAGCTGAGCTATGTCCCCAGCCCTATCACCACCCGAAACTCTTAATTTATACAAATAAACTCAAGGTTCTCATGCTTTCAAGTACTTGTGTTGTCTTATTTATCTTACCAACCAAATTTCTTTCTTATTTCTGTCTTCAAAGAATGATCTATGACAGTACTTAGTGGACTATAGGCTATGAGTGGAATAAAGTTTAGAATGGCTTGTGAAATTATCTCCAAAGTAGACAGTAACAGTTTAGCACTAAAGGAGAAAAACCAAATTGGAAAAATGAGGGTGTTTTCACACCATAAACTGTTAATATATTTTGTATCACAGTTTTTTGTTTAAACCTCTTGGTGTTGGTGCAATCTGTAGACATTGTTGCCCTGAGGCATCAAGTACTTAGTTGTGCATTGGTAAAATTTTCTTTATTAGCCATATGAGTTCTTTTGAGAAAGTTGGTGATGAAGATGTGGTGATTTTTAAGATTACAAAGAGTTTGTTATATTATAGGGGAAAAAAGTTGTTCCATGTAGACATGACTGGCATCAGACTGGGGGTGAAGTTACCATCTCAGTGTATGCTAAAAATTCACTGCCGGAGCTCAGCCAAGTAGAAGCAAATAGTACACTGGTGAGTATATTAATGGACTGATGAAAATTATCTTACATGCATTATTTGTTAATACTTTCTTAAGGTTCTTCAACCTGAGCAGAAAGTTACTCACTTTCACAGAAATAGTATTTTAAGTGAAAATCACAGTGTAGTAGAGTTTGTTCTGGAGTTTTCTAAAAAATACAATACCTTAGAAGAATCATAAAATATATGTGTGTATTCCAGTTAATTTTCTATTCTCTTAATGATTTTCTTAAAGGAAGCTGAGGGGATGTCTCTTTTGACATTCTGTCATGGCTTAAGTAATGACAGTCTTGTCTTTATAATTTGTACTTGGTTTCACAAACCTTGAGTATGAATTTGATCAGTTATCACTCTTGACTGAATGTGGTTCAGTGTTTTACTCACTGCATGCTTAGTGTATATTAAGGCCTTGTTTTCAATATCTAACACCAAAATAATAGCAATTTATGTATTTCAGTTAAATGTTCACATTGTATTTGAAGGAGAGAAAGAATTTCATCAAAATGTGAAACTATGGGGTGTAAGTATTACAAATTCACCTAATATTTTTCCTGATGATTGAAAACATTTTAAAAATGAATACTTGTGGAAGTTCATGAATATAACCCTAACATGTTTATCTATCAAGATACTTATCTGGCATAAAAATGGCCTCAGATTTGATTTTAACATTAGAATAAGCAAAATGTGTTTTTCTGTGACCAATAAAAGCACCAGCTTAACTCTTACTCTTGATGTGTTGTAGGTGATTGATGTTAAACGGAGTTATGTAACCATGACTGCAACAAAGATTGAGATCACAATGAGAAAGGCGGAACCCATGCAGTGGGCAAGTCTTGAACTGCCCACAGCCAAAAAGCAGGAGAAAGAAAAAGAAGATATTGCAGATTGATTAGAAGAGAAGCAGAAAGCTCTTGTTTGTTTTAGAATTCTTAATATGTGTGGTGAAGTAGTAGCTTGCTGCTGTAATCTTTTTGTTGTTTTCAATCTTCCACTTTAGGGTTATCATGAGGTTCAAAGCCAAAGTCTGTTTTTTTTTTTTTTTTTTTTTTTTTTTGTGCCTCTATCTTCCTTTTGACTTCTATAATATGATTATTCAAGTGTCCTCACTAGTAGAAACATAGTTGTTACCCCACGTATGGAGGGAGGAAAAGAACTCATGAGCGTATTTGTAGTATTTGTTAGTATAAATTATTGTAAGCAGAGATATAAAAGTGGTTTTTTTTTTTTTTTTTTTTTTTTTTTTTTTGTCTTGATATCACTATTACCCTTAAATGGGAAAGCAGGGTGTAACATAAACAATTTAATTGGCCTTTCCATGAACTTCTGTTACTGTAATTCTTGAAAATCTTTAAGGAAAAAATTTCCCTTTGTTTCCCCTATGAGGTAGTTACTTCTTATAGTAGTAACCCTGAAGCACTGTAGTCACCGTCTGTGTGTACTGCTAACATGATTCATTTGCAATTAATTTCAGAAAGTTACATCAATACCTGTAGTATTTGTAACCAGTATAATTTAAAACTATAGGAAATATATCTAAGAAGTATCGATTTGGTTAAAAGAGTAAGCAATAATGTTTTTTAAAAAGTCTCATTTTTTTTTTTAACTATTTAAAGGGTTTTTTTGTGGTGTTTTGACTAAATTTTATCTGATTTATAGTATAAACCCTCTTAGGGATTATAACTATATCCTAGGTGGAAACTGTCTATAAATTGTGACTGTGTAGCTTTGTTGAAATCTATTAAGATATGTATGGGGCTTGAATGTGGAATGCCGTGGAGGTTTGTTTTGAGCTTTTGTGGCTCTGTTTTGAAAGCAGTGGAACCTTTAGGATATTGGGCCTGCTTGAGCATTAAGGATTCTACACCCCTGCTGGCTGGCCTCCAGTCAGGGCATGTGAACCACCTCTGTCCCAGCTCTCAGTGCTGCCTCTGCAGCCATTGTAAACTGTGAGCCAAAATAAACCTTTCCTCCCTTGAGTTGTTTCTGTCATGTGCTTTGGTCACGGCGACGACAAAGTATACACTGCAGAAAAAGTAGGACAGCTGTGTGTTACATGTTAATGTAGTTGCTTAATTCTTTGGACTTATTTTAAGGGTTTCATGAAGAGATTGACAAGTTTACTAATATGACATTGGTTATATATTATATTTAATTTGCATTAATTGTATATGACATAGAACTTCTTGTTATACCAATTACAGACATTATGCATAGGTTACTTTTTGAGGCACAGCTCAAAGGGAAACTAGTTATATATGAAGGTTAGAACTCTAGCAGGACTTAGTAAATTGGTGCCTTAAACTTGTATAGGTCAAAATGGAAGTTAAAGGTATTTAAAACTCTTTAGTAGTAATGGAATTCTTACAAAGAAAGTTTGAGTATAGTAAAAATATTATTTTAGCTGGAGAGACGGTTCCCTTAAGAGCGCGGCTGTTGGGTTTGATTCTATGCACCCACATGACAACTTATATTAAAGGAACTCCATTTTACTTATAGGTCCCTCTTCTGGGCACCAGGCAAGTATGCAGTGCCGTTAGATACAGCAGGCAACCTTGTATGTGTCAATGGTATTAGCAGATAACTATTAAAGATACTGTCTGACCCAAATCTAGCCTTCAAGCTTTAATGAGGCAAGAACTTTAAACCTTTGGAAATTAATTTTTTAAAAAACTTGGGATCCAAATAGTCTCTCTAAATTTCTAGTTAAACACAAGTTCATTTAGAAAAGAGATCTTGTTTTCTGCCTGAGGAAAGAGGTTGATACAGTTTGGTTCAAAATAATTATAACTGTATAACTTCTTTATTGAGGCTGTTTTCTTTTCCCTTGAATAGTAGTTTTATCTGTTGGAACAGTACTATTGAAGCAAGTGAAGTTTTCTAACCTTGGTTGCACAGCACTATTTTTATTTTTTCATACTGTTGTGCAGTGGTTACATTTGTGATCATTTAATTGCTATTTTCTTTCAGAACCTCTGTATGTCACTCAGATAAAAGTTAAGTGAAATTTACCTTAAACTCTTTGTAAAGCAAAAGAGTTTTCTTAAGGAAGAATGCTTTACTCTGTTAATTTATTAAGAAAAGCTAATGAAATGCTTGTTAGCTCTAAGAAGTTATTTCTGTTAGATAAATGCCTTTCTTTTATTATGGCATCAAAGCAGCCAAACCTAGATATCATTTTATACATGTAATTCACTTTAGCATGGGAAACTTAAGTGCTATTTTTCATGCCTAGCTTTTGCTTGCACAAAGGAGCTAATATCCTAAGTTGGCCTGTCTTTTCTAACCTCTTATTTTGAAATAACTTTAGGTTGGCAGAATTACACAACTAGTACAGCAGAAATCTTTATAGTAGTATATCATCTCCCCATTTTAAAATTTTACATGATAGACAGTTTACAAAACTAAGACATTAACCTTGGTATAATTTAAAATAGGATGTTTTAATTTTAACCTTTTTAGTGGAAACTTTAAAGGGCAGTTCTTGAAACCTGTCATATAACTTAAGCTATTAGTGTAAACAATTAAAACATGAATTGAAATCAGATGTTTATAGGTTGACTGTGTATATTTAGAAGACTGTATAGCCAGTGCATTGATGGAGCTTTGTCATTTGCTTGTGATGCTAGGGATCTTTGCCTTTACTATACATAGAACTTGTTTGATTCTCACCTTATCAGTTCATCAGAATGAAGAGAGCATTAAAACATTCTTGCAGATATTGTGAGTCTGTGAATTACTGCTTCTACCCCTCTTGTTAAAATGATTACTCTGGGGGCTGGAGAAATAATGATGCTACTCCTCTGGGGGGGCTTAGTTCACTCACCCACTTTGGGCAGCTAACAACTTCCTGTAACGTCACCTCCAGAGGATCTAATACCCTCTTGTGATGTCTGTGGTTAGTATCCACAAACACAATGAATGAATGAAAGAATGAATGAATGAAAAAAAGGAAGGAAGGAAGAGATACTACTCTGGAAGTGGGTGTTGCATACATCTGCAGTAAACTTTAAAAACTCGTTAAGGGACCTCCTGTCTACTTAGACACTTGAGTATGTATTTTTTAACCTCGTTTTTTAGCAACTCTACTTTTTCAGTTTAAAAAGTATTGTTTGTTTTATGCTGTTGCTTTGTTGCAGTTGATCGTATTTGCCTTTAACTTATAGAAATATATCCAGTATTGCTGCATGACCTTACTCTGAAGTATGAGCTATTGTGTCAAACTTGATTTCTTTGTTTGTTTGTTTGTTTTTTAATAGAAAACATTTTTATGTTAGGAAAGAAACACTTCATAGTGTCACAGTACTACATGCAGTTACTTACACACTAAAAGTTTTCACTAACTCATGTTTAGGTTATTTAGATTTGAACATAAGTGACTGGCTCTGTGAATGGCAACCTCATACTCTCAGCATGTCTTAACGATTATCAAGCTCATTATTTTTATTTTTTCAAACTTTATTTCTTAAAGGTTTTATTGGGATGTCTGATTGATTTCTTCTGTCTTATCATAAAGGGTAATGTTTTTTCCTGATTGCTTGTCTCCTGTTCTTACTGCAATTTATCTCACTCGTATGGGCCTTTTAATTATAAATGTCTGTGCCCCTGGGCATGTGCATTATCCCTAAAATACCTAACTTACCAGGTTTCTCCATATATAGTTAGTGCTTTATTTTTGTGTTTTCACGGAGTTTTTAGATATAAGGAATTTCTTTAAAAATAGTTATCCAAAGACTTCATTGTCATTAATGATCTTTAGACATTTTTATGTTGTTTAAAGATTTTGAATCAAAATAGCTTGATTTGGTACTCCTTTTCCACTTAGTAGATAGATATGCTATTCAAATGATTAAATTATATAATTATCTTTTATTTAAAGATTTTCCTAATTATAGCCTAATGATTAAAATTTATAAAGGAAAACTTCTCAAAGCTTGAAATACTTCATTTACAACAAATACATTGGATAAGTCTGTTTCTGTTGTATGTGTATTTTTTGTTAGTCTCTTTGCTATTTACATGTTACTTTGGCTGTTTCTGTTTTGATCAACTCATGGAAGCCTATTTTCTACTGTGCTATTTGGCATATTGGAGTAGGTGTTAAGACAAGCATACACCAGTAATGGTCTAGCATTGTTTTAAGAACATCAATGCGTGTGAACTTAACTGCTCATTACTACTCTGTGAGATGTGTTGTTTGGTACTACAGGCAAGGAAAAAGATTCATGTCACTGGTTAAACTCTTCCACAACTGAAAGCGGTAAGCTGTGGATTAAAGATGGCAGACTTAGATGTTAGGAATTAGTTCCCTGTGTCTGTGTCCAGACATTCTGTGCTGCTTACCGGTTGAATGAATAGCTTTTCTAAAATATTGGCACACTGTGAGGGATATTGGTGACTTCTGGCAAATGTTATGTTTTGCTAGAAAATAATTTCATAAAATAAGTCATTTTGCTTAGATGGTTTTGATTGGTAGCCTATTAACTCAACATTTGTGATTTGAAGTATATCGCAAAATCCTCAATGCAACAAATCATAATAATGGTTTCCATTGCCATACAGGCAGTGCTAAATGTGTCATAGATATATAAGCTAGAACCCACAGGCAAACACCAGCAAACTTGCCTTTGTTTTTCCCTGTTAATGTAAGATCTGTTAAAAAAAAAAAAAAAAAAAAAATGACAAATCTGGAGTACATAGAACATATTCCTGGTGTAAGAATAAGGGGTTAGAACCAAATAGCTGAGGATCATTAGATTTTTGTTCTCCTGTAGACCAGTGGTAGTCAGTCTACCATTTCTAGACGAGCTTGATCACTCAATGAAAATGTTTTAGAAATGCAAGTTCTTGGTCCACAACTCTCAACAATTAAGTTAGAACATTGAAATGGGACCTAAGACTGCAAAGTAATTTCCAGACATATCGATTTTTTAATTTTTTAAATTTTGTTTTTATGGTGTACATTATGATGGTTCATATGTATATAATATGTATTAATTATATCAAGGTAATAGCATTCCCATCCCTTTGGCCACTACTCAATCACCTTTATGTAGTAGGACTTTAAGTTCTGTTTCGGCCATTTTGAAGTACACTGTGTGAGATGCCTATGAGCTCTTAAGTTGATTTCCTTTTCTATCCATTTTTTTTTTTCCCACATGAACAACAGCTTACATCTTAGATCAATTTGATACAAGGCATTTGGAGATGGGA